CAGGACAGACACGATCGAGTCGTCTCCGTCATCTTGCTCGCACTCGATCCTGCAAACTCCGCAGTCGTCGACGACGCATCTCGCAGGCTCTGTGCAGATCTCTTCGCCTAAGCTCGGCAAGCACGGTACTGTCAAAGCACCCGTTCGACCTACCTCTGCTCGTCCCAAGAGCAAAGGCGGATGGGCTAGCCACCTTGCTGAAGGATTGACACTTCACCTTGAGCACGAAGGCAAGCGGGAGATCGTCAGAATGACCTACCTATACTACGATCCCTTTGGCGCTCCAGAAAGCCTCTGCAACAACGATTCACTAATCACGGCAAATGGTCGCCCAGCCACTCCCAAAAGACCAAAGTCCAAAGGAGGTGTTCAAGTGAGCTCTGACGAGCAACTCGGAATTCTGGAGTTCGGCCCCGCTGTGAACCCGTCGAGTCCTTCCACGCCCACGGCGATATCTTTTCGAGCCAAGAACGAGGGCAGCTCTCCTTCGATGGCTTTGTTGAGGCACTTGACGGTTGGTGACGACATGAAGGGAGACTTGCTGGCGCGCCAGGCGAATCTCTCTCTTGCTCAAGTTGGTACGAATGAAGTCTCGGGGATTGAGCGTAAAGGCAGCCTTGCCTGGAGATTCACGTACAACGTCGACGTTGACGCTGGCTCGAGAACAAAGGTGAGCTTTCATCTCAGTCCATGGTTTGGCGCTTCCCAGTACTGATCGACCGCGACCTCTTTACAGATTCTGAGACCTGTCGGCTTTTCATGCTCTGCAACGCTGTTGGACCCCGTCAGAGCTCGCAAAGGCAGACTTTTGAACATGATGCGCAAGCAAATGATAGCCAGCAACATCGACTCGGTGCCGGTCATTGGTTCACCTGCGTCCGCACCTGCCCATCTGGCAGGCGAAACGATGCCAAGAACGCCATCAGATGACGGCACCTCGTGTAGCATGAGGCCAATCGCGAGCTCTCCAGTCACATTGACACACCCCGATAGCGGCGCT